CTCATTCGTTTTTTTTTTTTTTTTTTTTTTTTTTTAAATCCAAGCGCCAAAGGAACCTCTGCATCCATCTCCTGAACACTTCAACATCTGGTTGTGACGCAAGCCTCGGCCCCGCCCCTCCCAGCTGCGCTCTCTGCTCTCTGGTGGTGGGGCTTAGGCATCAGGAGATTGAGCACCAGAGATGCCGGAAGAGAATAGGAGAGAAAACTGCAGGGGTAGGGAGTGTGTGGGTGGAGGGGTGGGAAAAGTGTCCAGAGGCAAAGGAGAGAGGGAAAGGGAAAGAAAAGAACTAAGAAAAGGAAGAAATATACCTGAAGAGGGAAAAGGTTAAGGGTGGGGCTGGGGAGATAAAAGAAAAGAAAAAACAAAAGAAGTAGAGAATGGGATAAAACAAGCACAGTGTTGAGCCAAACCAGAAAGGGGTAAATGACACTTCCATGAACTCCCTCACTTGAACCTATGATGGGAACCTGCCCTGCCTCCAGCCCAGCGATGGGCTAGAGGAGCGACGATGAAGACCCTGGCACGTCCCTGCCCTGGAGCTCACGTTCCAGCAGGAAAAATGGGTGTTGACCCCTCACTCGTGACCAGCAAAGAGTAGGAGGGAGGACTTGGGTTCTCAAGCATGACAGTGTCCCCATCCAACGCATTATTCTCCGCTGAGACCAGCTGGGACTTGGCGGGGTGGCTGGAGCTGGGACTGAGGAGCAGCGTTAGCACAGCCGTCCTGGTATCACCTATGGACCGTGCCTCAGCCTTTTTCTCCCGGTCCATCCCAATGCTTCTCCTGGTTCCTCTGCTCCCAGATTTCGCCATCTTGAGCTAGAGAGCGCCATAAATGGGGCAGAATGTGCCAGGACTAGAAATCAAGCCTTTTCAAGATCCTAGGCTGATGGCTAGCTCTAGAAGAGAATGAGGTGGAGGCTGAGTTTGGGTGCAGATATTTGAGGACTCAGGTGACCTGGGAAGAAAAGAAAAGAGGGAGGAAGAGCAAAAAAGGCAAATGGAACCCAGAGAGGGGAAGGATTTAAAAGAAGCAGAATCCCACTGAGAGAAAGAAGAGGAAGGCAGGGGACAGACAGACGGACAGGAGTGGGGGTGGGGGGCGTGATAGAAAGGAAGGGAGTATGAGGTAGCTCCCTCTTCCCCTTCACAGCTAAACTCCTTCTCTGAGTTGTGTGCATTCTGACCCCGTTTCTGGGCCTCCCGTTCCCTCCTCAGCCCACTCCAGTCTGGCTTCCTCGCCCATCATTCCACCAAAACAGCTCACATTTAGCTGCCATGTTCCTGAATCCAGTGAACATTTCCCTCCCTAGCATATGAATTCCTTCCAGAGCATATAACTGTCCCTCCTTCTAGAACAATCTTCCCTCTTCCTACATGACACCCACCGCCCCCTCTTCCTTGCCCTCCTACTTCTCCCACTTGTCCTGTCTCCTGTGCAGGCTCCTCCTCCCTTCCAAGCCTGAAACCCCAGGGTCCCCCAGGCCCCGTCCTGGCCCTTCATCTCTCCCCCCGACCCCGCAGCTTTCTCCCGAGAGTGCCATCCACCCTCATGCTGGGGGGCCCAAATTTGTCTCCTCTGAACCCCAGATCCAGACACGCAAGGGTTTCCTCCTCATTCGTGACTGGATGCCTCCTAGGCACCTAACACTCAACATGGATGAACTTAATTCATCACCTTCCCTCTAAACCTGGAAAGGACGACAGTCAGAGGGAAACCTCAGGAGGCCAAAGGACTTGGGTTGAACCGAGGCATAGAAAGAAAAGCCAAGCTGTGCCTGGAAGCTAAGGAACTGAGCTGAGGACCAAAGGGCCTGGATGGTGCAATGTTGGGGAAAGGGAGGAAGAGAGGAGCCCCAACAGCTGGGGCCTGTCCCCAGACTCCCCCCGGGGCCTCTCAGCAGGAAAGGCGCATGCAGGAAGGCCAAGGGCTTCCCTGTAGTCTCATTCTTAGATGCCCCCTTCTTTCTCCTCACTTCCTCCCCCTTCTAGGGACTATTTCTCTAGCACCAGTCTGGGGCCGGGGGTGGGGGAGAGGAGCCTTCTGGAGGGTCAGTCGCCGGGGAGGGCAACAGAGCCTTGGGAACCAGAGCAGCTGGAAAGGGCTGACCCACCTGCTCACCACGTGCACCAGCACCTGGGCTGTCTCTCCTCCCCTGTCCCACGCCCCGCTGGCTTTGAGGGGCTCCGGAGGGGAGCTGGAGAGAACAGGCCTGCCCCCCTTCAGGGAGGGAGGGCACTTGGGGAAATTTGGAGAGAGAGTGAACTCAGAGCTCAGCATTTTCCTCTTTTCTGTTTTTCTTCTTGAAGAATTTTTTTTCCCCTAAGTGCTGATGACTTTACCATTTCTTAGAGGTGGGGGGAAGGAGATTTTGGCTTCTGTTCCCCCCACTCCAAATGCCGGACAAAGTCTTACATTCCACAAGAAGCCAGAGCTTCAGAGTTTCCTAAAGATGAGGTGGCGTCTCCTCCCCTCTCCAGCCCCAGCTCCGTCCCCCTTCCCTCCCCCAAGGCTCAAGCCCTCAGTCCTGGCCAAGGAGGCCCAGCCAGGCTGGGAGGAGACCCCAAGCACATTCTTCCTCTCACTGTCATGCTGCAGAAATTAAAGACACATCTTCGGGCTGGGCACCCGCCAAGCGTTTCAAGTCAAAAAGTGGCAGAGGAGGCCCTGAGCCTCAGCTCTGTGCCACGTGGAAAGGATGCTTAGAAACCCCCAGCCTGAAGCCCTTGGGATGGAGCCCTGAAAATGGACACTGGGGCGGTGGCTGTCGCACACTACCCTCACAAAGCCCACCCCCACCCCCAGGGGTCCCCGAATACCCTTCAGAGCCCCAGGTCCGGGATGCAGCCACTTCCAAACCACACCTCTGAGGAGGCTTCAGCTCTTTTTTAAAGGGGGGGGGGCGGGGATGGGGGAGACAGCCTGGACAGAGGGCACATGGGGAGGGGGCTGTAGGTAGCAGTCCTTTTAACTGCAAAACCTCAGCAAGCAGAGAGGGGGCCAAGGAAACACGGCCACCATCCCAAGCCTGTGACACCCTGCCCCAGACAACCAGTCCAAAGGGTGGACCACGCTGAAGAACAAGACCTTCATCCTCGCTTGGGGGTAGCCCCCTTGCCAACGACCCGCCCCGTACTGGCAGTTGAAGGAACTGCCATCTCAGCACCTGGGCCCCCTGGTCCTGCCCTGCAGTCGCTGGCACCAGGCGGGGGCAGATCCTGGACCACAAGTCGCTGCCACATGGTGGGGATAATTGATGAAGGCCCAGCCCTCCATTGCTGTCTCCAGCCTGCCTCTCTGGAAACTCTATATTTTCCCTTTAATTATAGCCCCTGCAGTCCCCTCCACAGCCCCACCCGCACGGCTCATCCTGGCTGCCCACGGCCGACGTGGCTCCCTCCCCTTCTCTTCCCTTGGTCTTTTTTTTCCCTTTGCCTTCGTTGCACAAAACCAGCTGGGGGAGGGCGTGGAGAGGGGCGGGAGGAAGCAATGGAATCTTGGATGGTTTGGGGGAGGAGGGACTCCCCGCTTCCACGTTTGCAGCTCTAGAGTGGTGGGGGCTGGGGGAGCTGTGCGGAAAGGATTGGGGTTGATGGGCCCTGCAAAGGGCCCCCCGTTACTCTCTCCTGGGCCCACAGACTTTGGCAGGACCAGGACCTGGAGAGACTGGGGTTGGGATGGAGCACTGTTGGGAGGTTGGTACCTGGGGGAGAAAGGACATTTTCTCCTAGAGGCATCTTCCCCAAATATAGCTTGTTGGTTTTGGGGCTCCCCCATTGTATCAGGGTACAGATGATTCTCTTCTGGTTCCAGAGACAAAGAGCAAGGCCCTAGGTTTTGAGGAAAGAGGTTGGGCAGTGGGAAACGTCCTCTAAAATGTCACTCACCCTCCCTGCAATTCCATCCCACACCCCCAAATACAAGTTTCTACCAGACACCCAAATTCTCTCATGTGCCCCCGACTCGGAGTCCAGGCGCCACAAGAGACAGGACTGTATGCAGCTCCCAGAGGGGATGCCCTCTGTCTGGTGAAGCTCCTTCCACCTGAGCTCTCTCCTGCGTGGCTGTGCAGGGCCCCGGCCACGGCCACAGCAGACACTCACCCAAGGTCCTTTTCTATGTCACCGGTTGTCACAGCCTTTTCCATAGGCTGTGGAGCCCACTCTCCCTAGGGTGAAAGGACCCTGGCAATTCCCCACCACCACCAAGTTGCCCCATCACTCAACACCTAAGCTTCCCTCTGGAGGGACCATGAAGCCCCATTTCTTGCCCAGTGCCTCAGCGCCCCCATCTCTCTCAGTAGTGCCTGGGGTTTGTGTCTTGTAGCTCCAGGCTACAGGGTAGGAGAATTGGCATCTTTAAAAAAACAGAAAACTCTCTCAGGTATCTGATTCTTAACGTCTACAAAGGCATCTCTAACTTGGTCCCCGAACACCCCTAAGCTCCCTGCCCTAGTCACACCAGAAGACACCCCTACATAGGCACATCCTTTCAATTCTCCGGGTCTCCTCTTTGAGAGGGGTCCCCAGCTGGCCTCATCATACCCACCCCGTAGCTCTTGCAAAGACTATGAGGGTGAGCAAGGCACAGCGGGACGGGGGGCGGGGGACCCTCTCTCCCCACCCAGCTCTCTAATTCCAGTTCTTCCAGGTTGGGGGTCCCAGGAAGAAGGTGGAAGGGCGGCCCCTGCCCACCCTTTAACCTACGTCTGTTCAGGACCTAGACGTACCCCAGCAGCAGTGTGTCTGGCCCATGCTGGGCTGGGGGGCTGGGGAGGCACAGCGGGCGAAGGGGGGGAGATGTGTGGTGGACTCCTTTCCCTTCCCTTCCCTCCTCCTCCTCCTCTCCCTTCCAACTCCCAAATTGGGGGCCGGGCCAGGCAGCTCTGATTGGCTGGGGGACGGGCGGCCGGCTCCCCCTCTCCTAGAGGCCGGGTTCCTCCCCGCGCTCCCTCGGGATGGTATAAAAGGGGCTCGGGCCGCGGGTCGGAGCAGACGGGAGTTTCTCCTCGGGGTCGGAGCAGGAGGCACGCGGACTGTGAGGCCACGCATGAGCGGACGCTAACCCCCACCCCAGCCGCAAAGAGTCTACATGTCTAGGGTCTAGACATGTTCAGCTTTGTGGACCTCCGGCTCCTGCTCCTCTTAGCGGCCACCGCCCTCCAGACGCACGGCCAAGAGGAGGGCCAAGAAGAAGACAGTAAGTCCCAAACTTTGGAGAGTCCAGGGCTACTTGGTGTCGCACCCTGCGCCCAGTCCCGGGAGTCTGAGACTTCAGCGGGGACTCAGGATGCTCCGGAGACTCGGGGATGGAGGGGAGATGAAAAGGGCGCTTCCTAGGCGTCCCGGGAGAGAAGGGAGTGCGCCCTGGGTAGGGGATGAAGATGAGCGCCCCCAGGAGCGAGAGTGGAGGATGGAGCGTGGCTTGAGTTAGCGCAGGAGCGAGTTCCGAGTGCGTGCGGTGGATTTCAACCCGGGAAAAGGGAGTCTGAGCACGGGGCGGGGGGAAGTACGTCGAAGATGGGATGGGGGCGCCTAGTTCAGAATTTGGAGCCCAAGATGTAAAAACGATCAGGAAGGCTGCGGGATGATTCATAAGGAAAGATTGTTTGCTCTCTCTGCAGGCTAGACAGTGCTGCTGGGGCCGCGGGGGTGCTGGGCTGAGGGGGGAGGGGGCGCGGAGAGTGGGCGGGTAGGAGGGTGAGAAACTTCGGAGCGGGTGGGGCGGGGTCCTTGCGCCCTCTGCTGATCAGTGTTGAGAACCGCTCCTCCCGTCCGGCGCTTCCCCGCGCAGGAGCTGGAGCGGGAAGACCAGGGTTACGGCCGAGTGTGGACCCCACCTCGAGACCTAGAAAATAAAGCTGGAGGTGGGGTGGCCCCTGTCTCTAAAAGAAGTGTCCAATCCAGGGAAATGGCTTAGTTTTGCCCGCCACCTAGTGGCCGTCTGGGTAGACGCTCGTGCGGCGGGCCTAGTTAACGAACTTCATTACTATGATATTTGCTGACTTTCGGGTTCTTGGCTAAATGACCCAAAGGCACTGGTTGGCTTTGGGAAATGAGGGTTGTCCCAGAGAGGGTTTTTAAGACGTCTGGGTGCTGGAGGTTAGGGCGTATCTAACTATGGGGGCACATTTCAAGTGTCTGGGTGGGACCCCACGCCAATCAGTCCCTCCCCGGCCCCATAACCCTGCCCACGTCATCCCACCTGCCTGGGGAATGGGGCGGAATGGGGGCTTGGCCTCCCGTCTCTCCTCCCACTCCCTCCTCCCGGAGCCACCGAGACCACTCCCCACGAGCCTGCCCTCTTGTTGGAGCCCCTCCTGGTCTGTCTCTCCTCCCCACACATCACTCCCCATCCCAATGGCTTTTTTATTTCACTTGGCCTCCGCACCAATGCGCTGAGGTTGGATTTGGAAGCAACCCCCGCTTAAAGCTTTGTTTAAATTCCTGAGAACTGGAAAGAGTTATAGCTGCCCTGGCCAGGCGCCTCGGAGCTGTCACTGGCGCTGATGAGGAGCAGATGAGCTTATGAGCTTTTAAGGATTTGGGGAAAGGAGGAAGGGGGAGGAGGAGGCGGGAAATGGAAAAAGTAAATAAGTCTGTAAGACAAATGGGACGGGCGAGTAGGGTTGGTGTCCCCGGAGCCCCGAGACGGGGGCTCGGGCGCCGCTGACAGCCCCGCTTTCCGCCTCCCGCGCCAGTCCCACCAGTCACCTGCGTACAGAACGGCATCAGGTACCACGACCGAGAAGTATGGAAACCCGAGGTCTGTCAGATCTGTGTCTGCGACAATGGCAACGTGTTGTGTGATGACGTGATCTGCGAGGACACCAAGAACTGCCCCGGCGCCGTAGCCCCCCCGGGCGAGTGCTGCCCGGTCTGCCCGGACGGCGAGGGTACGGGGCCGCTGGGCCTGGGCCTGGGGCTGGGCGGGGTGGACGCGGCCGCTCCCTCGACCCGAGCCTGGGGGGCCTCCGCCGCCCGGGACGCCAGAGCCAACCCTGCCTCTAACCCGCGTTCCTTCTCCCCCTAGTGACGCCTACGGACCTAGAAACCGCAGGAGTCGAGGTAATCCGCTGCCCTCGACTTTTGCCACCTCTCCCATGGCTCCCCGCGGTCCTCCCTTCTCTAACCCGGCTTCTTTTGTTTCTTCTCCCCCAACCCCAAAGGGACCCAAAGGAGACACCGGCCCCCGAGGCCCCAGGGTAAGCGTCGCGCTTTCGGCCGCGGAGCGCGGAAGGTGGGCGTGGCTCCCGGCCTGTGCTCACCCGCCTGCCCTCCCCTGCTCCAGGGACCCGCAGGCCCCCCTGGCCGAGATGGCATCCCTGGACAGCCTGGACTCCCCGGACCCCCCGGGCCCCCCGGACCCCCCGGACCCCCTGGCCTCGGAGGAGTAAGTGGAGAGTCTCTTCCTTCCCCGCCCCTGTTTTTGTTTGTTTGTTTTCTGTTTGTTTGTTTTTTGGTTGGTTTTGGCCGATGGCATTCTTTATATTTTGAAATAATGTCAAACTCAAAGAAAAGTTGCCAGAATAGTGCAAAGAACTCTCATAGACCGCTCACAGTTGTCCCATTTGCTTTATCAGTCTCTATGTATACATATAATTATGGTTATTTTCTTTCTGAACCATTTGTTTGAGAGTAAGTTGCTGGTATTACATCCCTTTGTTCCTAAATTCTTTAGTGGGTATTTCTTGAGAAAAAGAACATTCTCTTGCATGAGCATTGCACAATGGTTAAATTTTGGAAATTGAACATTGATACAATACTGTATCTAATATACAGTCCATATTCAAATTTCACCAATGTCCTATTAATGTCCTTTATAGTATTTTTTTTCCTGACCTGGGATCGACCCAGGATTATGAATTGCACTTAATCATCATGTCTCTTTCATTTTCTTTCATCTGGAACATTCTTCAGACTCTCTCTGTCTTTTATGACACTGAAATTTTTTGAAGAGGCCCCTTGTTTTGTTAAACTGTCCCTCAGTTTGGGTTTGTCGAATGTGTCTTCATGATTAGATTCCAGAGAGTCTTTGGCAGGACTCTCACATGTGATGTTATTGTTTTGCTTAGTGCATCCCATCAGGAGGCACTTAAAGTCTGTTTGTCCTGTTATTGATGACATCTTCTGCCTTTCAACTCACTGTCCTGGCCACACTTTCTCATGCCCTCTCTCTTGTTTTTTTTCTAGAACTTTGCTCCTCAAATGTCTTATGGCTATGATGAGAAATCAGCTGGAGTTTCCGTGCCTGGTCCCATGGTGAGCCACCAAGGGGAGTAGAGATGACAGAAGAGCCAGAGGGGATCCAGACAAGATGGGCTGTTGATGGCATATGGGGGTGACAGAGATAACCTAGGAGGTCAAGATGACCATTGGGACCTCCGAATCCAGAGTGGGTGCAAGGCACCTGGGTTGTCTCAACAGGAACCAACAGGAGACAGCAAGACTACGCCTATGTTGCTCTTTCCCACAGAAGTGTCATTATGGCCTCTCTTTCTTTTTCGTCCTTAGGGTCCTTCTGGTCCTCGTGGTCTCCCTGGCCCCCCTGGCGCACCTGTGAGTATCCATAATATCTTTATACACCACCTTGGGCACTGGCCTTTTGCAGGGAGGACTGGGATGAGGGATAGGGATCTCTTGATGAGATGGGAAAAGGTTGGCAGGGACCTGCCCTTCTAACCCCACCCCTCTCTCCTTGTCCTCCAGGGTCCTCAAGGTTTCCAAGGCCCTCCCGGTGAGCCCGGCGAGCCTGGGGCTACAGTAAGTGGCCCCCTGACTTGTACTCCATGCAAATACATGCTGCCGCTACAAATACCATCCCCATCTGGAGTCTTCCTTACCTCCTCTTTCCAGCCCCAGCCTTCCCCTTCTCTTTTCCTTATCCTGGTCATTCTAACCTGCTCTCCTCCCTTCTCCTCTAGGGTCCCATGGGTCCCCGTGGTCCCCCTGGCCCTCCTGGCAAGAACGGAGATGATGTAAGTAACCCCCACAAGAAGATACCATCTGACCCTTACTGCCTCTGTGAGCCAGGGCCCTACAATCTCCAGCTAGTACCCCGCCATCTTTGAGAGTCCTACCCAGAGAAAGGAGGGAAAGTTCTCCCTAGTGCACGAGACTTCCCTTAAACAATGATTTTCACCTTTGGGGGATGTTTCTCCATTCTCTCTAACAGGAGCGCCTATCCGCCCCCTCACCCCAGCCACCTTAAAGCAATTCCCAGCCCACCCTTCTGGGCGAATGACTTCCTTAAGCTTAATTGCTCTAGGCAACTTATATCTGCTCTCCCTATGATGAAATTAAAATGCTGGTGAGAGAAATAAACCAAAACTCCTTCGGAGGAAATTAAAATTCACCAAACAAGGGTTTCATGATAGATTTAAATTGTACTCGAAATGCAAAGATAAGATTCTGCGCCCCTAAGCCTGAACTCCAACAATCCCAAGAAGAATCAGACCTTCCCCACTTTTCCAGCCCAGGGGCATGGTCGTGAAGGCCTTTTCTCTCCCTCTCAGGGTGAAGCTGGAAAGCCTGGTCGCCCCGGTGAGCGTGGGCCTCCTGGACCTCAGGTGAGCAAGATGGTGTGGCCGGCCCCCTGCTTGGCTGTATTTGGGCTTCATTTGGGAATGAAGAGTAGTAGCTTCTAACGGCCCTGCCTTTCTTTCCTTTTCTCTCCAGGGTGCTCGGGGATTGCCTGGCACAGCTGGTCTCCCTGGAATGAAGGGACACAGAGTAAGTCCCTTTTGAGTCATCTAAGCTCCCAAGGTCCCAGCCCCTTCCCCAGAGGGCCCTGGTGTGTGTTACGGTGGGTGGCAACTACAGAAGCCCCAAGGGACAGAGAATAGACATCCAAAATAACTTCCCTCCACTGGGAGAGGAATCCCAACAAAGGGATTGGAAGAGACCTTGGGCCAGGTGGGGTTCAGTCCAGCTCAGAGACAGGGGAATGGCTGCGGTGGCCTCCCGAGGCTCCTTTTCAGGCCTGGGGGCTGTCAAACTGGTCTGCGCCCTCCACAGAGCCTTACCTTGGCCCTCCTTTCTGTCTCAGGGTTTCAGTGGTTTGGATGGTGCCAAGGGTGATGCTGGTCCTGCCGGGCCCAAGGTAAGAGGCTGTCTGAGTGTCGTGGTCCTCCACCTCCCGCCCAGTCCCACCGTGAACGGACTCCTAATTCTGTTCTCTGCTCTCTAGGGGGAGCCTGGTAGCCCTGGTGAAAACGGAGCTCCTGGTCAGATGGTGAGTGTGTCCTGTTCTAGGAGGAGGAGAGGGAGCAGGGAGGGGGGCAAGGTGCCGGCCTGAGGGAAAGGGCTGTGCGTCCCATCTCACTTGGATTTTCTCGGTTTTGTTGTCAGGGTCCCCGTGGTCTGCCTGGTGAAAGAGGTCGCCCTGGACCCCCTGGCCCTGCTGTAAGTACTCTCCGCCCCTTGGGGGATCTCTGGGCTCTGGAAGGGGCTCCCCAGGAGCTACAAAGCCCAGTCAAGGCTCAGTGGATGTAACCAAGGCTTCCCGTCTTTTCCGCAGGGTGCTCGTGGAAATGATGGTGCTACTGGTGCTGCTGGTCCCCCCGTAAGTATGGCCGCCAGGCCTCAGCGCCTGGGAGCGAGCAGGAATCTCAGCGTTAGCTCTCGGGGCGAACACTGGGGTGGACCCTGTTGGTCCGAACCCCAAGACCTCCTCTGTCCCAGGGTGTGACTTGCAGCCGCCACCTTCCTTCTTGCTGACATCTCTCTTCCACTCACAGGGTCCCACCGGTCCTGCTGGCCCTCCTGGCTTCCCTGGTGCTGTTGGTGCTAAGGTGAGACCCCTGCCCTCCTCTGAGTATGGCTCCTGTGGGCCAAGGTGTCTCCTTGCTCCCCAAACCGGAAGAACCCAGAGTGGCAAGAGAGAAGCCCAGTCCCCAACACCTTTGTCCTGAGGTCCCTTTCCCTGGTCTTGAAGTCCCGATCCTTGGTCCCCTGTCCCTACCCTTCACCTTCCACCTTCCCAAGGTGAGGTTGGCCTCCTAGAGTGGCTTCTGCCATGTCCTTTCTTCCCATCCAGGGTGAAGCTGGTCCCCAAGGAGCCCGAGGCTCTGAAGGTCCCCAGGGTGTGCGTGGTGAACCTGGTCCCCCTGGCCCTGCTGGTGCTGCAGGCCCTGCTGTAAGTATTGCCTCCTCGGTGCCCCTGTGCCCCCACCCCCCAGCTCAGAGTCCTTGCCTGTCACTCACACACCCCTTTCTGTGCCACAGGGAAACCCTGGTGCTGATGGACAGCCTGGTGCTAAAGGTGCCAATGTAAGTGTCCTGCAGATTTCAGAGCTGCCCCCGATGCCCATCTCCCACTTGCCCTGTGCCCTTCACTCATAGGCTCAACTTGTTCTGCCCCCTACAGGGTGCTCCTGGTATTGCTGGTGCTCCTGGTTTCCCTGGTGCCCGAGGCCCCTCTGGACCCCAGGGCCCCAGTGGTCCCCCCGGTCCCAAGGGTAACAGCGTAAGTACCACTCTCTTACTTCTGCCCCATTCAGTGCTGGCTCCAGTGTGGCCCTTCTCTGGGGATACAGGCCAACTGAGCACCCCCAACTCCCTGCTCATCTTCTTTTCCTCCCCCCACACAGGGTGAACCTGGTGCTCCTGGCAACAAAGGAGATGCTGGTGCCAAGGGAGAGCCCGTAAGTCCCCCTGCAGCTCAGCCTGTCTGCCCAGGAGCCTCTTGAGGGAGCCCCTGCTGCTAGAGGCCCAGCCTCAAGCCAGCTCGGGAGCTGGCACCAGGACGGCCCCTCACGACAGGCTGTCCCCTCCTCTCTGCCCTCTCCAGGGTGCCCCTGGTATTCAAGGACCCCCTGGCCCTGCTGGGGAGGAAGGAAAGCGAGGAGCCCGAGGTGAACCCGGACCTGCCGGCCTGCCCGGACCCCCTGGCGAGCGTGTACGTGCCGCCTTCTCTGTCCCCCGTGCCAGCCCGGTGCCCCATGGCTGAGTTCACTGACCTCTTCTCCTCCCTCAGGGTGGACCCGGTGGCCGTGGTTTCCCTGGCGCGGATGGTGTTGCTGGTCCCAAGGTAACCTCTCCTCGTGGCTGGAGGCTGCCCCTGCTGCCCCCTGCCCCTGCCTTCCCCTTTCAGATGTAGTCAGCCCCTCCGACCCCCACTGCCTGGTCACTAATGACCCTCTCCCTTCACACTCGGCCTCACCTTGACCTTCCCACCTCCAACAATGCCTCACAGAGCCCCCCCCACCTCCCTGGGAGAAAGAGGCCTAGACTTGAGACCCTAATTGTTCCTGTGACCCCCGCCCCCAACCAGGGTCCCGCTGGTGAACGTGGTCCTCCTGGCCCTGCTGGCCCCAAAGGCTCTCCTGGTGAAGCCGGTCGCCCCGGTGAAGCTGGTCTGCCTGGTGCCAAGGTGAGACCCCAGCCTCTGCTCAGCGCGGCCCAGGACCCTGCCTGTCCCGTGCTGGGTCTGGGAGGAGGTACTGGGGAGCAGGGCTGAGGGTCTGCCTTCTAGAACGCCCCCTCCCCCTGCAGCCTACACCCTCTCCTCCCCCCGCTTCTTTCCCAGCCCGCTCACTCCTCTCTGCTCCACCGTAGGGTCTGACTGGAAGCCCTGGCAGCCCCGGTCCTGACGGCAAAACTGGCCCCCCTGTAAGTGTCACTCTCCCCTGCCCCGGGCCTGTCCCCTTCCACTCTTTGGACCACCCACCCTTTGTTCTCACCTCTGCTCTTCTGACTTCCATCCTCAGGGTCCCGCTGGTCAAGATGGTCGCCCCGGACCTCCAGGCCCCCCCGGTGCCCGCGGTCAGGCTGGTGTGATGGGATTCCCCGGACCTAAAGGTGCTGCTGTGAGTATCCGCGAGGAGCGCCGCCGAGCCCGGGACGGGCACACGGGGAGGCGAGAGCCCTGGCGTCGGGGCCCAGCTCTGTCTCTAACTTGCTGTGTGGCCTCAGGCCGCTCGCTGCCCCTCTCTGGACCTCAGTCTCCCTATTCGTAAAATGAGGGACCTCCCCTGGCATCACTGCCACTGCTCTGTCCCTGGGGATAAGTATTGTTGATGTCCCCCCACACTCATACACACACACACACACACACACACACACACACACACACACACACAGATGGAGCGGGCCCTTTATATAATAGTCACCCCCGCATCTTGGGGGTTCTCTGAGGGTCAGAAGGAGAGCTCAGAGGGGATGGAAGCCCTGTGCAGCTCAGGGCACCATGGTGGGGGGCGGAAGAGGGGGACGGAGAGACGAGCCTGAAGGGGCAAGTCGTCCTGGGGAGAGGCTGAGGGGCCAGCTGTGGAAGTCAGCAAAGGCGCTTCCCCGGGGCTGGAGCCGGTAGGTAAGAAAGTCCCTTTAAAAATTCCACTCAAAGTAAACAGGAGGGACCGAGGAGGCCCAGCTTTCCCACTCCAGCCCCTCAACTCTGACTCTTTCCCCCCAGGGAGAGCCCGGTAAAGCTGGAGAGCGAGGTGTTCCTGGGCCCCCCGGCGCTGTGGTAAGTACCTTACACGCTGCCCTCCCTGCAGGAGGGGCGCAGGAGACTCACAGCCCCTCACGCCCTCTCCAGGCCACCAGGACCCTGGCCCCAGGCCCCGCCCACCTGCCCCCCTTCCTCAGCCACCTCTCCACCCTGAGTTCTGCTTTGCTGTCTCCCCTCAGGGTCCTGCTGGCAAAGACGGAGAAGCTGGAGCTCAGGGACCCCCTGGCCCTGCTGTAAGTGTCCCTGAAGGGAGGACTGGGGAGGGGGTACAGTGGAGCAGGAAAGGGGAGACACCCCCGCCCCTCCTCTCCCGGGCCTTCCCGTGACCACAGCATTCTCTCCTGACAGGGCCCCGCTGGTGAGAGAGGTGAACAAGGCCCTGCTGGCTCCCCCGGGTTCCAGGTGAGGCCTCGCAGCTGTCAGGAGGTTGGGGAGAGGTTGTGAGTGTCCTCTTGTTCTCTGCTGGGTCTAATCCCCTTCTCTTTTCTCCCCTGTTCCCACATCCAGGGTCTCCCTGGCCCCGCTGGTCCTCCTGGTGAAGCAGGCAAACCTGGTGAACAGGTAAGAGGGAGCAGCAGCCAGCGAGGTAGGAACACAGGGCATGCAGAGGGAGAGGCCAGCCTCCTAGCTACTCAGTCACCATCAGCTAGAGGGGTTGTGGTTAGACACCAGGAGGGACTTCCTGTCATGAAGGGAGCCACGCAAGAAGGAAGCCAGGAGCTGCACCTGTGCATTATATGGTCTAGAAGGAGCTGCTGGGCTGCTAGGATGAGGACTTCTTCCCAGAGATGCCGGAATCCTCTGTGACTTTCCCTGAGCCCGACATCTGGGGTGTGTGTCATTGACATATCTTGATGAGGAGTGGAGAGGAGAGGGTTGATCCCAGTTCAGTGCTGCAAAGCACTGGCTTGCGATCACAGGCCGCGAGGCCACCCCCACAGCAGGAGGGCAGGGGTGCTTTCTCGCTCCAAGGGCCCCAGTGGCCTTTGCTCACGGCCTGTCCCCCTCTCCCCCTCAGGGTGTTCCTGGAGACCTCGGTGCCCCTGGCCCCTCTGGAGCAAGAGTAAGTAGAGCCTCTGCACCTGCCACCCTGACGCGTGCTCAGACCTGTCCGTGGAGCCACCGTCACGTGTCCTGTCCTCCCTTCTCTCCTAGGGCGAGAGAGGTTTCCCTGGCGAGCGTGGTGTGCAAGGTCCTCCCGGTCCTGCTGGTCCCCGTGGGGCCAACGGTGCCCCTGGCAATGATGGTGCTAAGGTAAGGACAGCACAGGGACCAGGTTTCACCCTTGTCCCGCGCCAGGGGACACCTGGCTATGACCAAAGCCACCAAGATATGCGGGGGCGGGGGACAAGGCTGGAGTGGGGTCCAGGTACAGCCTGAAGTCCTGGACTGTAAGCATTTCCTCTTAGCTGGTGCCTACTTTTGGCCCTTGAACCAACCCAGGGAGACATTAAGAGGTGGCTCAAAACTATGACGTGGTCCTGGGACCCTGAGCCTCACTCCAGTCCTCTTTGTTGTCACACAGGGTGATGCCGGTGCCCCGGGAGCCCCTGGTGCCCAAGGCGCCCCCGGCCTTCAGGGAATGCCTGGTGAACGAGGTGCAGCTGGTCTTCCAGGCCCTAAGGGTGACAGAGTGAGTTCGACTGTCCTCCCCTGAGCCCCGTGTCGCTCCCATTCTCTGTCTACTCTGGATCCCTCGGCCTCTCTTTCCCCTCCCTGCAGTCTTTCCCTCCTCTCCTCAATCCTTCCTTCTTCCCCTCTGGCCTTTTTGCTGATGGATCCTCTACCTGTGGTCCAGGTCCTTCGCTCCTCCTGAGTTACCCTGGCAACCAGAGGCGGGGCTTCCTCCTGGATGGGGCATCCCTTATTCATTCCTCTACACAAGGCAGGGCCTCCTAACTTCCTCAGGCAGGCACCTTTTCTTCTGAAAAGTCTGAAGTCCTCAGCACAGATGCGGGAAGGGCAGAGCAGGGGAGGGGTCCCAGACACAGCAAGGCACAACAGGCTGTCTCCTTGCCTCACACTGGAAGTCTCAGGCTCTCCCATGTTTTTAGGGCGATGCTGGTCCCAAAGGTGCTGATGGTGCTCCTGGCAAAGATGGTGCCCGAGGTCTGACTGGCCCCATCGGTCCTCCTGGCCCTGCTGGTGCCCCTGGTGACAAGGTGAGGTGACTGCCTCCGCACCTTCTTCCCTAACGCAGCTTTCCCAGCAGGCCTGGCCATGGCTCCGAGGGGAGGCGGGAGCTGCCTTCCTGAGCTGACAGCCCGAAGGTGGGGGGGCCAAAGGGAGGGGGGCTGTCCTGGGATAGTCTGCCAGGAGCACTTAGGGTGGGCCTGGACCCTGAGCCTCTTGTCCCTCTCTCTCAGGGTGAAACTGGTCCCAGCGGCCCTGCTGGTCCCACTGGAGCTCGTGGCGCCCCAGTAAGTACAGAAAACCCCGCTAATGCCCCAGCCTTGGCCCTTTTCTCCCCCCGTATGGCCCCCAGCCCTCTTCCTATCCCTCCTCCAGCTTCGTTTGCATCCCCTGGTCCCTGAAGAAAGCTCCGCAGGGGCCCTCCTCCTCACCCGTCCCTCCAGAGCTCCCCCCACCGCCCCCCAGGTCCGGGCATCTCTCCAGTTCGCCTCCTTTTCTTCTAGGGAGACCGTGGTGAGCCTGGCCCCCCCGGCCCTGCTGGCTTCGCTGGCCCCCCTGTGAGTATCCAGAGTCCCTTCGTTTTTCATCATCCACTGGGACTGGGGACCTTGGGTGACTGCGTGAGAGAGAGGCCTCGACCTGAGTCGGGAGGGGACTGTCTCCTGTTCAAGCACCTTCCTGCTTGGAGTCACTGTCCTAGCTCAGCCCTGGGGACCACCTGACCGGGTACCCTGGCACAGCCCTCTCCTCTGCTCACCACACGCCCTCCGCCCGCAGGGTGCTGATGGCCAACCTGGTGCTAAAGGCGAGCCCGGTGACGCTGGTGCTAAAGGCGATGCTGGCCCCCCTGGCCCTGCTGGACCCGCTGGCCCCCCCGGCCCCATTGTGAGTATCTCACCCTCTGCGCCTGGAGCTGCCACCAGACCTGGACCCAGAACCGGCCCGGCCTTGACGCCTCTCTGCTCTCCTGCAGGGTAACGTTGGTGCTCCTGGACCCAAAGGTGCTCGTGGCAGCGCCGGTCCCCCTGTGAGTATCTTGCTCTGAATTTCTGCTGGGACTCCCCAGCTCTAGTTTGGAGGGAGGGAGGGCTGCGCCAGGTGAGGGGAGTCTTCTCACCCTGATGACTTCTTTGTCCTCTTCTGCTAGGGTGCTACTGGTTTCCCTGGTGCTGCTGGCCGAGTCGGTCCCCCCGGCCCCTCTGTGAGTACCTGAGGTGGAGACTCTGCTGCTTGGAGAGGAACGGGGAGGGGGGAGGGGGTGCTTTCAGGAGTGTAGTCGGCCTGATGGAGGCCTCAAAGGCGCTCCAGAATCCCCTGGAATCTGACAGCTCCTCTTCTCCTCATCCAGGGAAATGCTGGACCCCCCGGTCCTCCTGGCCCTGCTGGCAAAGAAGGCGGCAAAGGCCCCCGTGGTGAGACTGGCCCTGCTGGACGTCCTGGTGAAGTCGGTCCCCCTGGTCCCCCTGGCCCTGCTGGTGAGAAAGGAGCCCCTGGTGCGGATGGACCTGCTGTAAGTGCAAGCTGTGGAGGGGGGCTGGGGCGTGGGCGTGGTCCCCGGCCACTGCGAGGCACCTCATGGCTGTCTGCCTCCCCACAGGGCGCTCCCGGTACCCCTGGACCTCAGGGTATTGCTGGACAACGTGGTGTGGTCGGCCTGCCTGGTCAGCGAGGAGAAAGAGGCTTCCCTGGTCTTCCTGGCCCCTCTGTGAGTGCCCCCTTCACTTTGGGGCACCCCAGGAAGAATTGTCACAGGACTTGGAGAATGCAGGATGGGGGTGGTGGAGCCAATTAGACTGATGTGCTAAGTGACTAAGGGGGCTTTCAGGCTCTCCCCCACCCCCTCTCTTGCCTGACCCTTTCTTCTGTCTAAGGGTGAACCTGGCAAACAAGGTCCTTCTGGACCCAGTGGTGAACGTGGCCCCCCTGGTCCCATGGGCCCCCCTGGATTGGCTGGACCCCCTGGAGAGTCTGGACGTGAGGTAAGCAGCCACCAACCCCATGCCAATGCCCACAGCATGGCCATTTGGGCCTTGACCTGAGCCTCCCTCTCTTGACTGAGGCTTACCTCTCTCCCTCTCTCTGCAGGGATCTCCTGGCGCTGAAGGCTCCCCCGGACGAGACGGTGCTCCTGGCGCCAAAGTAAGATGGCTGCCCCTCGGGGCCACAGCTGAGTCTGCTACTCCCCTGCCCCAGCCTGGCCCCTTCATCTGGGGCTAACCGGCACTGTCCTCACCCCTCCCAGGGTGACCGTGGTGAGACTGGCCCTGCTGGACCCCCTGGTGCTCCTGGTGCTCCTGGTGCCCCTGGCCCCGTCGGCCCTGCTGGCAAGAGTGGCGACCGTGGCGAGACTGTAAGTAGCCAGACTCCTGCTTGCAGCTTCCTGCCAGGCCAGGGACTCGCCAGGCGTGCCTAGGGTCCTGCAGATGGACGCCTGACTTCTCCCAGGTGGGGGGCGGGGAAGAAGTCCTGCAAGGTGGCTGGGCCCTTGGGCCCCCTGAAAACACTGAGCCACAGCTCAGCCTGGAGGCCCCCCTCCCAACAACACCCCATCTCCCCCGAGGAAGGGGGTGTCCCCAGGTAATTGCACCAGCTCACATGAAGCCTGAACTCACATGAAGTTTCATCTGGAGCTTAGGAGAGATGGACATAGTGGGAAAGGATATGAGGAAAGAGGATCTGGCTGAGGGGTGGCCTCGTCCTGCAGCTCACACTGTGCCAGCCTTTGGCTGGGACCCCTCTGGCCAGGATCTGACGCTCTCTGCTCTCCCCAGGGTCCTGCTGGTCCTGCTGGTCCCATCGGCCCCGTTGGTGCCCGTGGCCCCGCTGTAAGTGTCCTGCTCCGGCCCTCATGTCCTCAGACATATGTCCAAGTGTGGACAGCACCCTACTCAGTGCTAATGGACCTTCTTCCTGACAACCTGTCTCCTCCGCTTCCTAGGGACCCCAAGGCCCCCGTGGTGACAAGGGTGAGACAGGCGAACAGGGCGACAGAGGCATAAAGGGTCACCGTGGCTTCTCCGGTCTCCAGGGTCCCCCTGGTCCTCCTGTGAGTATGCTCAGCACACCCCCCAGCTGCCATTGAGCCTTCTCTTATTTCCCCATGCTTTGCTGTGTGAGGGTAGGGGACACTTTGACTCAGTTTTCCCCTCTGGGTAGTTATTCTCACTCTTCCCTGGTAAGGACTGGGATCTGAAGATTTATGGGCATTTCCAAGGAGTTTTTGAGGGGGCAAGGGGTGCACAAAGAGGGATTGTGGGGAGGGTCTCAGCCTAGACACCCTGAACAATGAAGGTGAAGAGCAAGGGTTGGCCTCATTTGACCCCCACGGGGACTAAATTGCCTTTGCATCTGTCCTGCAGGGCTCTCCTGGTGAACAAGGTCCCTCTGGAGCTTCTGGTCCTGCTGGTCCTCGTGTAAGTCATGCCTTCTATCTCCTCTTCTGGGGTTCCAAATCCAAGTTCACTTCATGGCCCTTTGCCTGGGCCATGAAGTGAACTTGGCCCAAAGATGCGTGGTGTCCCTCACATCTTTGGAGAAGAGTCCAGGGACAGGGGTTCGAGGAAGAGAAGAAGGGTCCTAGACAGTCCTGCCCAGCCCTTGGCAGCCCCCTCCCGCTAATTCCTCCCACACAACGTCTCCTAGTCCAGCAGTGGGAATGAGCAATGATGAGCACCAAGCAGGGATGGCGGTGGGCTTCTCCGCCAGAGTTGGGGTGGTCCTATGCTTCCTGGCAGACCTTCCTTAACCATCTTCCCCTCTGCAGGGTCCCCCCGGCTCTCCTGGCGCTCCTGGCAAAGATGGACTCAACGGTCTCGCAGGCCCCATCGGCCCCCCTGGTCCCCGCGGTCGCACTGGCGATGCCGGTCCTGTTGTACGTAGCTCCCCACCCTGTCTGCCTCTGGCCCTCTGGCCCTGAGAACGCGCAGACCCTGGGAAATCCCACACTCCTCCCTTTCTGTGCAGGGTCCCCCCGGCCCTCCTGGGCCTCCTGGGCCTCCCGGGCCTCCCAGCGGCGGTTTCGACTTCAGCTTCCTGCCCCAGCCACCTCAAGAGAAGGCTCACGATGGCGGCCGCTACTACCGGGCCGATGATGCCAACGTGGTCCGTGACCGTGACCTGGAGGTGGACACCACCCTCAAGAGCCTGAGCCAGCAGATCGAGAACATCCGGAGCCCTGAAGGCAGCCGCAAGAACCCAGCCCGCACCTGCCGCGACCTCAAGATGTGCCACTTGGACTGGAAGAGCGGTGCGGACACACCCACCCTGTGCCCATCCCCCTCCTCCTGCCACCGCAGGGCTTAGCCCTGAGGGGCTCTGATGCCCCCTGCACCCCACCTCCCAGACCTCCCCTGACTCCGTCTCGCCCTGCCCCATCGCAGGAGAATACTGGATTGACCCCAACCAAGGCTGCAACCTGGACGCCATCAAGGTCTTCTGCAACATGGAGACAGGGGAGACCTGCGTGTACCCCACTCAGCCCAGCGTGGCCCAGAAGAACTGGTACATCAGCAAGAACCCCAAGGAGAAGAAGCATGTCTGGTTCGGCGAGAGCATGACCGGCGGATCCCAGGTGTGTGAGCTGGATCCTGAGTCACTCTCACAGAAGGGGCCGGCCAAGGGCTCGGGGGTGGGGGGTGGGAGAAGGTGCTGGGTGCTCTTGACCTCTACTGGCCATGACGGACAGAGCCAGCCTGGGAAGCAGGCGTCCTGGGCCTGTGATCCTGGCTCAGACATGGGGTTCCCATGGGCAAGTGAGGCCACCTCCAGGCGTGGGAGTTCACACTGCTCTCCGAGGACTGCAGCAAGGCAGGCCGGGACTAGAGGCTCCCCTACGATCATTCACTCTCCGCTCTCCCTGCCCCCTGCAGTTCGAATACGGCGGCCAGGGCTCCGACCCCGCCGATGTGGCCATCCAGCTGACCTTCCTGCGCCTGATGTCCACCGAGGCCTCCCAGAACATCACCTACCACTGCAAGAACAGCGTGGCCTACATGGACCAGCAGACAGGCAACCTCAAGAAGTCCCTGCTCCTCCAGGGCTCCAACGAGATCGAGCTCCGGTCCGAGGGCAACAGCCGCTTCACCTACACTGTCACCCACGACGGCTGCACGGTGAGTCCCCCCACAGGGCCCCCTCCCTGGGCTTCAGCTTTTCAGGCAGGCCTTAGTTCTCCACACCTCGTCATTCCCCCTTGGTGACGCCCCTCTCCCGTTGTCTCCCCTTCGCCCCAGAGTCACACCGGAACCTGGGGCAAGACAGTGATCGAATACAAAACCACCAAGACCTCCCGCCTGCCCATCATCGATGTGGCCCCCTTGGACATTGGCGCCCCAGACCAGGAATTCGGCATCGACATTGGCCCTGTCTGCTTCCTGTGAACTCCCTCCACCCCAACCTGGCTCCCTCCCACCCAACCCACTTGCCCCTGACCGTGGAAACAGACAAACAACCCAAACTGAACCCCCCAAAAAGCCAAAAAATGGGAAACAATTTCACATGGACTTTGGAAAATTTTTTTTTCCTTTGCATTCATCTCTCAAACTTAGTTTTTATCTTTGACCAACTGAACATGACCAAAAACCAAAAACGCATTCAACCTCACCAAAAACAAAAAAAAGAATAAATAAATAACTTTTTAAAAAAAGGAAGCTTGGTCCACTTGCTTGAAGACCCATGTGGGGATAAGTCCTTTCCTGCCCGTTGGGCCTATGACACCCCGACACTGCCCTTCTTGCTCCTTTCTCCGTGCCTTCTTGGGGCCACCCTCCACTGCTCCCCAAACCTAAGTCTCCCCAAAAGACACAGGAAATCATGCATTGTCTGCCCAGCAACCAAAGGCAATGCTAAAACACCCAAATGACCCTCCACTCCCAGCCCGCTCCCCTCGCCCAGTACCCCCAAGCCCTGGGGGGACCTAGGGTTCTCAGACTGCCAAAGAAGCTTTACCATCTGGGGCTCTGTGGCCCCGGCAACACACCACTCTTCGCTCTTGAGGAGGGCGTGCCAGGGAACCACCGGCCCCTGGTCGCAGGGTTTGGAGGAAAGTCAGGAGGGGCCGTGACAGAGTGGAAACCGTGTCAATCAATTCCCGCGCAACATGGCTGGGTGGGAGAGACTGCTCTGTTCCTTGTGTAATTGTGTTGCTGAAAGACTACCTCTACTGTGTCACCGGGGCAACTGCGTGGGGCGGGATGGGGGCAGGTGGAAGGGGCTCCCCGTTTTATATCAAAGGTGCTACATCTCTGTGACGGGGTGGGGTGGGGTGGCCAGGGATCACTGGTGCTATAGAAGTCGGATGCCACCCCCCACCAGGCCAGCAAATGTTCCTTCTTGTTCAAAGTCTTTCTAATTCTTTGGGTTTTTTTTGTTTTGGTTTGGTTTTTTGGTTTGTTTTTTTTTTTTTGCTTTTTTTTTTTTTTTTTCTGGTGGATGGGGACTCCTGTGAATTTTCTTAAGGTGCTATTTAACACAGGGGAGGGAGTGTGCCACTCACCCCTGGCCCTCTCTCCCCACCCCCTCGCCTGCTCAGGCCTCTCTCCAGACCTCTCTCTGTTCTGAAACCCCCCCCTCCTCCTCTGCCTCCCATCCTCTCTCAGTCTGTCCTTCGTCCTCTCCCCTGGGTTTCGGAGCACAAATGTCCCAAAGCACAAAGCGGTTTTCCCCCTGGGGTGGGAGGAAGCAAGAGACTCTGTACCTATTTTGTATGTGTATAATAATTTGAGATGTTTTTAATTATTTTGATTGCTGGAATAAAGCATGTGGAAATGACCCAAATATATCTGCAGTGGCCTCCTAATTTCCTTCCTTGGAGTGGGGGGTGGGGGGGCAGGAGAGACATGGGGAGGGAGCAGTGGGGTGGGAGGGGGTGGGCTCTCCTTCCTCTCTTGCCCCTTTCATCCTCTTCTCCTGCCCCCCCCCCCCGCCAGCACCCTCCACGGTCCTTCTCATTTCCTCTCACCTTTCTTATGCCTGAGCCCATTTTCTTCCCTTTCTCGTGCAATCTTTGTTACATGTCTCCCCAAACCCCTCTTCTCCCTTACAGTGCGCACAGGCAGCCCACACACGCACACACCCTTGCCTCCCTTCAGACCCTGAGCTGCCCCGCCCTCATGCCCACTCTCCCATCAAAGCCCTCTCCACAGCCGCGGGCTCTCTGCAGGGCCCGGGACCTGGGAAGGCCCTGCCCACTGGCACTGGGTGAGGCCCACCCCTGGGTGAGGGAGCTGGGACCGGAGAGGGTACCTGGAAGCCCTTCACAAGGCCCCTCCCTGGGGCCTTGGATGGAGGGCCATCTGGCCTCTTCCCCTGCTGCTCTCTCTGAGCTCCTCCAAAGGTGCACCAAGCAGGGGGTTCCCGAGCCTGTGCTGAGGGCTGTGAGGAGGCCCAGAGGGAGGAACGCCCCCTACTTACTCTCCTGGGCTCCCAGGGAAAGGGAGGAGGGAGCCTGCCCAGCAGCCTCTAAGAGCGGCAGCCAAGGCACTCGTGGATGCTACCTGGAAGGCAGCAGGCCCTGGCCCTGCTGAGCGTGTACTGGATCCCTCTTGGCCTTCCAAGTCCTCAAAACATGACCCCTTCCCTTGGGTGTGCAGTGGCCTGGAGAGATTATTTTGCCCAGCCCCCGCCCCCTGCCTATTCCTTATCCTTTTAAATCTCCTTGCCTCTTCCTCCTGCTTCTCCCTCCCCGCCCTTTTCCCTTCCCCTCACTGGCCCCGCTCCTGCCTGCCTGAGACCCTGAGGCTCCCCAGTCTCAGGGAAGGGGGACAGCAGTATGCAGTCAGTGGAGACACAGAAGATCCAGAGGCTCAGAAGTCTAGAGCAGCCCAGGTGCCCAGAGACCTGGAGACAGGGAGGAGGTGACATTTGTCCCCACCTTGCACCCAAGGCCTTAGGGCCTAAACCTCAGAGGCGGGAAAGACCCACGTTCCTCCTGCAGGTCTCCAGAGAGATGAAAAAGTCTGCGGAGGACATGCTCTGCAAGTCTCATACCCTGGCTATCATTACATAGTCACGTCTGGCTATTCATTATAGCCTTGAATAATTCATCATGAGTACTTCTACCACAATCAGGATGGCGTAGAAAAGGAATTAGTCTAAAGAGGGTAGGAAATTATAGCAAGTAAAGGAAGGCTTATTCATATGCAAATTACCTGGTGATGTGGGGATGGATTGATTAATTGGTGATCCTGCCTGGCACCTGCCTAGGTAATCACCGTTTTCCTGGACCTCCAGCCCTCTGGGGCCCTAGGCTGTCTCACCCCATCCCCACCTGCCCCCTGGGGGATCCAGAAGCACCCTGAGCCTGGCATCCACGACTCTTCTGGGCTGCTGCCCACCTGTCCATTCTCCCTGTCCCTTCCCCTGCCCACACCTGCACACCAGCCAAGAACGGTGATCGAAATGCCCACAAATGCACCGCACTTCCCACAGCCAGGCCTTTATTTCTCTCCCTCTCTGGAAGTGAGTTCCTTTATCTCTGCTTTAGCTCCTCCCCCGACCCTCCCCACCCCCACTCTCCAGGCCACACTCAAATGCTTTGTCTCCCCTCGTTCTCGAATCCAGGCCAAGTTTGCCTCTTCTGGCTTTCCAAAGCCCTCCACGTCTACAAAATTCACCCTGGCCTTAACACCAGGCATCAGCACTGTCCCCCGCCGCCTGTTCGCCCTGTTGTTCTCTCCAGGCCACGCAGCGCAGACTGAGGGCCGGGCGCGCCGGGCGCTGGCCGGCACCCGGGTTGTGTGGAGGTACTGGAAGACTAAGAGAGAGGAGGAGAGAGCGAGGCAAGCCTTCTAGGCGAGAACGTGGAGCTGTGTGCGCCTCCCTGAGCAGCAGCGAGCAAGTGCGAGATGAAGAACAGGTGCAAAACAAGCCCCAGCGGAAGGCGTGGAAGGCCCCAGGCCAGCGCTTCCTGCAGCGAGGGAAGTGCACTCCCGCTGGGCCGTCCACACAGTGGCCGACGCCACACGCGGCTGAGGACCACTGCACATGTGGATGGTGCAACTGAGGGACTCCATGTTACATTGTATTTACCTGTAATTAATGTTAAGAGGTCCCCGTGGCCAGGGGCCACCGTGCCAGGCAGTGCAGCTCTAGGCAGAGGAGCGAACACGTCTCTCACTGCACATGTATTAATCCCGACCCACGCACGGGTGCCTGAGCGCGCGTGCGCGCACGTTCGTACCGGGGCACGTGAGGCAACCCCGAGTGTCAGGGCAGCGGTGCGGGCAGCGCCTGCATCACGTGGCGTGAGGCCGGCGTGTGGTTTCAGCGTGTGTGCCGCACCGGAGAGGAGGGGGACAAAGGGGCCATTGTACCACCTTCCCAGCCCCAGCCCTCCTTTCCGCTGACATCACAGCTGCCCTAAAAACAGCCGCGCAGACCGGCTCCCCCAGCCCCCGCTGCCCCTCACGGTGGCGCTGCGTCCGCGGGCCCCAGTGCGGCTCCGAGGGACTCCCCTTCGCTTCCCTGTGAGGAGATGGGCCACGTTCCTGTGGATGACTTTTCAGTCAGATGCAGATGGGAAATTCTAGAAAAGGAAAAGGCTTTGTTTGGATTTTAATTTTTTTTCCTGCTCTCTCAGAGTCCTGGATCCCTTTTGTGAGATGAGCCCATCTCCTGGCAGGATTTTCTAAGAACAAAATACAGTGGATTTTCCCTCCTGTCCCCCCAGCTCCTTAACCCTCAGCTTCCCAGGTGCCTTTAAGATGCTCCTGGGCAGAGCTGGGTGAGGTTTGGAAGAAGAGCGCTTGGGAGGGGGCTTCCTGGCTGGAGGGCAGGCGCTTCAGGTGAGGAGGGGCCTGTGGAGTGTGCGGGGCGGGAGAGCTCAGGCTGCGTGGCGGGCGGCCGCGATGTGTCAGTGAGCGAGTGAGTGAGAGGGTTAACCTAGCTGTCCCTGTGTGCACGGGAGTGTGTCTCACTCTCTAGGTGCCCACCCACCTGTGAGCAAGTGTGTCTGTGTTCACAGGGGCCCTGCATGCATGTTGGGAATGAGCAAGGGGTCTGTAGATGTGAGGACAGCTTCCCCACACACATGGCGGCAGAACAGACCGCGTATGAACCAAGGATGCCTGGGTCTAGCGCTTGGGACATGTGTGTAGGAACGACAGAGGCTGTAGGAGGGTCCGTCTGTGTGATGAATGGGGGTGGGAGGAGAAGAGAGGAGCGTGGGAAAGAGTAGGAGAGCTGGGCTTGGGAGGACCACCATCCTAAAGTCCCGGGGCACGTGGATCCCTAGTGCTGATGAGTGGCTGTGTCTCTGTGTCCCCGTGTGCCCTTCCTCATGTGCACCGGGAGGAAACCAAGTAAAGCACAGTGATGTCTGGAGACTGATGAGGAGGCGGGGCCCCGGAAGAAGGCTGGCCTTTGTCAAGGAGGATAATTTGACCATTACATGCGGGGGTTTCAGTGCTTTGCAAAGGATGCACGTGGCAAGGCCGGAGGGAGGTAAGTTTGGTGAACGCAGGTGCTGGAAAAAGTGGGGTTTTCTCTGCATGAGACAGTGGGAAGAAGAGAAAGATGGGACGGAGTGGCGACCAAAACACATTTGAGAACAAGGAGGCCACATAATCAACTATTAGGTGACCT